ACCAAGCTTCCTTTGACTTGAATAGACATTTCCAGTTACTTGAGAGAAATGCTTTTACTTTTGCTTTCTTCAGCAAATCAGTGATGGATATTAGTTTAGATTCTTCTTACTCAGCTGTTTGCCTCACTAATTGTGTTCAGAGTTTTTTGTGTTTTCCCCTGATAGGTACTGAGATGTTATGAGTGTTTTCTGCCTGGTTACTGGATACCTCTGGTGTTTTTAGATTACCAACTGCATAGTTGTTGTTTGGCAAATAAGAGTAATTTGAAAGACAAATTCCAAGAAAATGAAGAAATTGACTCATGTGAAAAATGGTTCTAATTTGATGAGAATAAGGAACACAGCTTCTAGTTAGAGGAAATAATAAATATTTAAATCTTACATTATTTGTGATAATACTGTGATAACAGTAGTTAATAGTTCCTGGTATCCGTGTTTACCTTAAAATAATGAGAACAATCTACTCCATTTTGACAGTTCTCATACTCTTCTAAGAGTCCTGGCGAGGCGCTAGGGGTTAATGCGCCACACTGAAAAGCTGTTCGAACTTTAAGGGTGGTGGTTCAAGCTCACCAGCTACTCCTCGGAAATCATATACAGGGTTGCTGTGGGTTGGAACCGACTCTATGGCACTCAACAACAACAACATTCTCTTTTACTGAAGTAGTTAATTACATCAACTTTGGATTCAAAAAAATTAATTCATTGTTTTATAGGTTTAAATTAATCATCTACTATCATTTTCTAATTTTGTTCAATGATCTTGTTTCTTCATAGGTATTGTATGAAAGCACTAGTTTCTGTTTATCATTTAGCATTTATATCTTGGGACAAAATATAAGGGTGTATTTTAAGGACTCCTGGTATGGTTCTGTAGGATCAGCACTAGACTTTGAAGACTGGCGGTTCAAAACCACCAGCTGCTCCTTAGAAACCCTACCAGCAGGGGTAGAGAATCTTTTTCTGCCAAAATTTGTAGAATCATTTGCAGACCATACAGTGATTTCACCTTAAAAATGAGTCTCCTATTTTGGTCAAACATTTAATCAGCTCACTCCTAATTGTGTTGGTTGGAACTGCAGTTCCTCTGGCAGGGCCAGACTGAATGGTTTTGAGGGCCTTATATAGCTTGTAAAGGAGCTCTGGTAGTATAGTGGTTACGAATCAGGCTGCTAACCTCAGGGTCAGCAGTTCGAAACTACCAGCTGTTCCATGGGGGAAAGATGAGGCTTTCTGCTCCTGTAAAGATTTACAGCCTCAGAAACCCTGTACAGGGACACTATGGGTTGGAACCGACTCTACAGCACGTAACAACAATATACAGCTTGTGGCCCAGACATTCCCCACCCCTGCTATTAATTGGAACTGACTCAATGGCACTTAACAACAAAAACTTGTAATTGAAAAATATGAACATTAAAATATATGTGTGCACAGTTTTAAATTATTAGCATTAATGAAATTGTTATTTCAATAAGGTTTCCCAGATGCTTTTAAATAGTCATAATAATGATACTGCTTGTCATTACTTTATGTTGTTGTTGGTAGGTACTATCGAGTTGGTACCAACCCATAGCAACCTTATGCACAGCAGAATGAAAGACTGCCCGATCCTGGGCCAACCTCACAATTGCTCCCACACTAGAGTCCATCTATGCTGCCACTTTGCCAGTCCATCTTGGTGGGGGTCTTCCTCTTTTTCTATGACCCTCCACCTTACCAAACATGATATCCTTCTCCAGTGACCGGTCCCTCCTGACAATATGTCCGAAGTATGAGAGACAAAGTTTGGCCATCTTGGCCTCCAAGGAGCGCTCTGGCTGCATGTCTTCCAAAATGGATCTGCTGGTTCTTTTGGCAGCCCATGGCACTTCCAATATTCTCCTCCAACACCATAACTCAAAAGCATCAATTCTTCTACGGTCTTCCTTATTCACTGTCCAACTTTCGCATGCAAATGAAGTTATTGAAAATACCATGGCTTGGGTCAGGCGCACTTTAGTCTTTGAGCTGAAATCTTTATAGGTTAATACGATGTTTATTTATCTTAGTGGTTATGAATCAGGCTGCTAGCTTCAAGGTCGGCAGTTCAAAACTACTAGTTGTTCCATGGGAGAAAGATGAGGCTTTCTGCTCCCATAAAAATTTGCAGTCTCGGAAACCCTGTGTAGGGTTACTATGAGTTGGAACCGACTCCACGGTACTTAACAACCATGACAACATTATCTATTTAGGAGTCCTGGTGTGGCGCTGTGAGTTAATGCGCTGGACTGAAAAGTCTCTTTTAACTGCAAAGCCTGCAGTCCCAGCTCACCAGCTGCTCCTCGGAAACCCTATACAGGGTCGCTGTGGGTTGGAACAGACTGTGTGGCACTTAAAAACAACTACATTTTTTATGTAAGGGTACCATTGGTGGTACAGTGGGTTCAGCATTGGGCTGCTTACCCACATGTTGGTGGTTTGAACTCACTAGCCACTTTGCCTGCAGGAGAAAGATAAAGTCTGCTTTCTTAAGAATTACAGTCTCAGAAACGCTGTGGAATAGTCCACTCAGTCACAGAGCCTCACCATGAGAAAAATTGGCTCGACGGTTTGGTTTTGGTTGTATGCTTGTCTTATGTAATGCCTCCAATCAATATGTGTTTTGTTTTTTTTTTAATTTGAGGACTATATAAATTCTCAGAGATATTACATAACTTGCTCTCATAGCTACTAAAAGTTAAGATGCCACTGGAACTCAGGCATTCTACATTCACTGCCTTCAGGAAAATTGTTTACTTATGGTAGACGATCTGTTTTTTCATTGTTTTTATAAGGTATAGTAAGACAGTACTAAGGGCTCAGGTAGCCCATCAGACTTTGAATCTGAGGATGTAGGGTTCAAGCTGCTATTTGGGTGTTTGTTCTTTTTGGACTCCTGGTATGGCACTGTAGGCAAAGCACTGGACTGCTCACACTCACCAGATGCTCCTCTGAAACCCTGTACAGAGTCGCTATGAATTGGAACCGACTCCACAGCATTTAACAAAACATAGAATATGCACGTTAAAAGTACAAGAGATGAAGTCTTACCATCCTCATTTCTAGGGAACATGCTGGCTGTACTGCTTTCAGTACAGGTTTGTTAGGCTCAGACATAAAAACAATTATGAGTATGGTACAGAAGTAGGCAGTGCTTTGTTCTGTTGTGCATACGATCTCTATGAGTATGACTTGATGGCATCTAACAACAACAGAGTTTGCGCTATCTTGGGCAATTTCATCCCTTTTTAGCGCATTGCTGTTATTGTTGTTAAGTGCAGTACAGTCAGTTCTGACTCATAGTGGATCTGTATAGGGTTTCCAAGGAGTGGCTGGTGAGCTTGAAATGCCAACCTTGCAGTTTCAACTTGCAGCCCAGCACATTAACCTGCAGCACCATGCCGGGGGATAAAATTGCCACATTAACACTAACAGTATTCATTTTTATAGCACACACAAATACTACAGATTTTCTAAACAGTTGTTAGATTCTTAAGGGAAAAAAATGCAGAACAAACCAAAAAACAATATAGCTCTGAAAACTTCCTCTTGGAAATCTTTTTTTATATTCCCTCAGGGAAGAAATAATCTTTCCCTGTAGTACACACATTCGGTATGGTCTCCTCCTTTTCCACACTCCTGTGCTCCATCCCTTTGTCCTCAAAATAACCCTTGAACATCTCTAATGCTCGACATTGGAGTCAGAGTAGTGAAAAAATAGATGTGGTCTACATTTTCACTGAACTCACAGTTTATTCAGAGAACTAGATAAGCACGTGAAAATGAACGAGGGTGTTATGAACGCTATGATGAGGGGATTGTAGATTGATGTGGAACACCAAGGAAAAGTGCTGGACTTCAGGAGTAACTAGGGATAATTTCTTAAATGAAATGATATTTAAGCTGAGATTTGGCATGCAATATACAACAGTCGGTCTCAAAGTGTTATCTCTAGACTCTTAGCAGCATTTAGGACCTTGTTAGAAATAGAAACTCTGAGTCCTCATCCTGAACAGAGTCAGAAATTTAGGGATGGGCCCAGCAATCTGGATTTTATCAAGCTCTCCAGGTGATGTACTAGTGGTGTAGGTGATGGTGAGATCAATAATCCTAGGAGTTTGATCCTGCCAGGTAGAGTTGCCCAACCTTTGAAACCCTTCATTTGAACATCTAATGAAGATGTTCAGTATGCCTGGAGAATGAGTTTCGAGGTCTAGAGAGGAGCAGAGTGGATAAGGAGCAGATCTTCTGGATTTTGTAAGCTACACGAAGTTGTGTTGAATTCATTTATCATAAATATTTATTTCTGCACTTGTCACTCCAATAAAATGCAAATGCTAGAGGTCCAGGATTACATTTTCATACTTCAGAACACCTCTGAACTATCTTGGCATCTTGAAAAAAAAAAATAAAATCAAGCCAAGTTTGTTGCCTTCCAGTTAACTCTGACTCATGGTGCCCTTATGTGTTACAAAGTAGAACTGCCCCATAGGGTTCTCTTGGCTCAAATCTGTTTGGAGTCCTGGTGTAGCACTGTGGGTTAATGTGCTGGACTGCAAGGTTGGTTTGAATTGTAAGGTCAGTGGTTCAAGCTCACCAGCCACTCTTTGTAAACCCTATATAGGTCACTATGATTCGGAACTGACTTGACAGGACTAACAACAATAGCAATCTATATGGAAGTAAATTGTAAGGACACTGTTGGGTGGGTACAAACTACCGCCTGTGTTTTATCCCTAACAACCTATTACAAACTGCTTATACCACCAAGGAACCTTATCTTGTCACCTAATCCAGAGTACAAAAAGCCTTTGGATTTTATAAGTATAATCTCTCCTTGATTCTACACTACTTCTCTCTCAGGGAATGCTGAGATGACTGAATATTTCTAGTAATACTGAGTAGAGAGATTGTTAACCTGCAAGCCTTCCTAATGCCACTGTGTTTCTCTTCTTTCTTTCTTTCTCTTTTTTTTCCAGACAGAAAAGGGGAGTGCACTTCACGAAGCAGCCTTGTTTGGGAAGGTGGATGTTGTGCGTGTTCTTTTAGAAACAGGTAATATATCCTGATTCTCCATTGAGATTATCCTGTCAAGCATTGTCTCGAGTTCAGGATAAGCAAAGGAGAATGACACAGTTTTCTTCACAAATCTCACTTCTTGTCTTCCATCCAAATTGAAGCTATGTATTCATATTATGCCAACACTCATGTGTTAGTGTATATTGTGGTCGTTAGTTTGTCTGTTAATTGTACTGTGGTGGTTTGCTTATTGGAAGCTATGCCACCGGCATTTCAAATATCATCAGGGCCCCAGGTTTCAGCAGAGCGTTCAGACTAAGACAGACTAGGAAGGACCTGATGATCAGCTTCTTTAAAAAATTGGCCTGCAAAATCCTTGTGCACAGCAGCAGAACCTTGTCTGATACAGTGCTGGAAGATGAACCCATTAGGTTGGAGGACAGTCAAAATACAACTGATGAAGAGCTGTCTCCTCAAAGTAGATGGAATAAAACCTTTGGAACCTTCATTTGGTGATGGGGCATTACTCAAAATGAAAAGTAGCAGCTGTAAACTTCTGTTAGTAAATGGAATGTAGAATGTATGAAGTGTGAGTCTAGGAAAATTGAAGCTTGTTTAAAAAAGAAATGAAACTCCTCAAGATTGATATAATAGGCATTAATAAGCAGAAATGAACTGATACTGACCATTTTCAGTTGGACAAACATATGATCGGCTATGCCAGGAATGATGAACAGGAATGATACTGCAGTCATTGCCAAAAGTCACTTTTTAAGATCTACCTTGGAGTATATCACTGTCACTAACAGAGTGATATTGGTATGCCTGTAAGGAAGATCAGTTAATAAGACTGTTGTTCAAATGTACTCACCTATCATTAAGGCTAAAGGTAATGAAATTGAAGATTTTTATCAATTTCTATAATCTGAAATTGATCAAACATGCATTTAAGATACACAGATAAAATTACATGTGATTAGAGTGCAAAAAAAAAGGTGGAAAAGAAACAAGAGTCAGTTGTTGGAAATAGGACCTTGGTCATATTGACAAAAAATTATGCCAGCTATTTCATGATAGTATTTTTTAAGACCAGAGATTTATTCATTGGAAATATCTATTTTCAACAACATAAATGGCAAGTGCACATGTGGACCTCATTGGATGAAGTATACAGTAATCTAATCAACATCTGTAGAAAGGTGATGGAGAAGTTCAATATCATCAGTCAGAATAAGGCTGGGGCTGACTGGGGGACAGATCATCAATTGCTCGTATGCAATTGAAGTTGAAGACAAAACAGTTCCATGAGAGCCTAGTATATCCCACCTGAATTTAGAGACCATGTCAAGAATCGATTTGACACATCAAACACTAATGACCAAAGACCAAATGTGTTATTGAATGACATCAAAAATGTCATATAGGATGAAAGCAACACTGATTAAAAACATGAGAAAGAGAGAAGAGACTGAGAAACTTACTCTTTAAAGTACAGTAGTTGAAGTGTGTGGAAGAAATGATAAAAAGAGCTAAATAGGAGATTTCAAAGGGAGGCCTGCAAAGACAAAGGAAGATATCATAATGCAATGTGAAAAAACAAACCAAAACAAAAAAACCTTGAAGTTAGAAAATCAAAAGGGAAGAACATGTTTAAAACATTTCTCAAGCTCAAAGAACTGAAGAAAAAGAGCAAGGCTTGGGTTACAATATTGAAGAATTCTATGGGCAAAAAATTTAATGATACAGGAAGCATCAAAAGAAGATGTAAGGACGATACAGAATCATTGTACTGAAAAATATTGGCTGATGTTCACCAATTTCAGGAATAGCATATGATCAATAACTGACAGTATTCAAAGAAGAAATCTGAGTTGCACTGAAGGCATAGGCAAAAAACAAAGCTCCAGGAATTGTTATTTTAATGAACATATGCAACATTTGCAAGTGTTCACTCATTTATAACAAGAAATTTGCAAGACAAGTGTCTGACCAACTATTTGGAGAAGATCCACGTTTGTGCACATTGCAAATAAAGTGATTCAACAGAATGTGGAAGTTATTGAACAATACCATTAATATCCCATAGAAGTAAAATTTGCAGGCAATAATTCAAAAAGTACATCAAATAGCAAAACAGTTGCAGCAGCACATGGACAGTAACTTGTCAGAAAGTTAAGTCAGATTCAGAAGAGGATGTGAAATGAGCATTATCATTGCTAATGTCAGATGGATCTTGGGTGAAAGCAGAGCATACCAGGTAAGTGTTTATTTGTGACTTATTGACAATGCAAAGGCATTTTTTTTTTAAACCAAAAACTTTTTATTGTGAATTGAGTGAGGGTTTATAGAGAAGATTATCAGTTTTAAATTCAACAAATTATACTTTGTTTCATCTCAGTGTTTGTAATCCCCTCCATGTAACAACAGTTATCTCTCTTCTTCCCTGTGATTCTTGTTTATATTCTACCTTCTTTCCTATCCCTTATCAACTTTGCACTTAGGTAAATGTTGCCCTTTTGATCTTGAATGGTTGACCTTTTCGCGGTGAGGATAGCTTACTAGTGTTGTCCCCTCTATATACCTATTTATATCACTTGGCTGAAAATTGGTCCACAAGGGTGAGTTCATTTTCAGTTTTGATGGGTAGTTGAGGGCCATAGTCTTGGGTTCCTTCAGCTTCTTTCTGATCAGCAAATCCAGTCCTTTTTTTTAAAATATAATTTTCAGTATTGTTCCATATTTTCTCCCACACTATCTGGAATCTTGTAATGTGATTCCTTTCAGTGCAGTTGGTAGTGGTAGCCAGGCACCATCTAATCATCTAGTTCTTCGGGTCACCGAGTCATGATGACTGATGTTCACATGGTCCTTTGGTTCACTGGATTAGTTGACTCCAAGCATCTTCAAATTTCCATCACTGTTCTTTCTTCTTCACATGGAGAGATCAATAGTTGTACCATAGATGGCCACTAATGAGTTTTTTAAGATCCTAGTCTCTATTCATCAAAGTAGAATATAGAACATTGTCTTTGTGGACTGTTGTGACAGTTGATCATGGTGTACCCTGAGAGTATAGTCTTGACCTCCCAGGTCCAGCAACTCATTGCTTTAAGATGTTTGATAATCTCTAAGAAGCTTCATTTTTGTGCAAACACATTTGACTTTGTGGATCACAACAAACTACGGATAACATTACCAGGATGCAAATTCCAGACACTTAATTGTACTCATGTGGAATCTGTACATAGACTAAGCGGCAGTTTTTTTTTTT